ATCCAGAGGTTTCTAGCTAGAGAGTCTTGCCCCTCAGCTCAGGGTCAGAACAGTTGCCATATTTGCAGTCTGGAAGAAATAGTTGGTCTGATTAGTATGGACTGTGGGGGACCTTCCCCTGTAGCAGGGAGTCTGCCCCTCTTCCTGGGATGTCTGGAGCATATTTTTAACAAGATTTGCACTGCAAGCTGCCACAGTCCCCCTGTTTTACCTGTGGCAGATAAGGATGTTGTGTCTTGCGTTATTTCAGGGTTGACTATGAGGTTGTTATTTATGATTCACTGAAATCAGGTTTGGTTTGTAACAGGAACATAGCTTGGTATTTTGGCTGCCTGAGCAGAGTGAAGGGGTGGGTGCAGAGGGGGAGGCACTGAGGGCAGGAGGCGGAGGGGCGGGCAGAGTCTTGCATGCAGCACAGACACTGCCAGAGGCAAACCTGGCGGGGGGCTGGAGGCTGTGCAGATTGGGGGCAGGAGTCCCATGAGCCACACCTCTGGCCAGCATCTGCAGGTGAACATGGCAGCTGATGTAGAACGGGAGGCAGAACAAGGCTACAAAACCCTTAATTAGCAGTGACTGCCACAGGATTAAGTCTGTCAGTTCTGAGCTGTGGAGACACCTCCATGAAGCAGTGGCATCCCGCAGGGGGAAGCGGGTGGGGGGCTGACAAGGAAGCTCTGCACCCCCTTCTGTGGGATCAGAGCCTCCAGGCCCCTGCTGCCATTTCAGTGCCCTCCTTTACATAGTGCCAAGGCATCTGCCTCACTCAGCACCCCCGAGATACACTTCTGGTTTAGAAGCAATTCGTGAACTGACACAAAGGCTTCATTTGTCCATAATGAAAAATTTTCCAACTCCATCCTCATGCGACAGCTGGAAATGGGGGGGTTGGGCTTCATGGCTTGTCTGGCTGACACATGCACTTCAGCACTGAGGTGGAAACCTGGTGCTTCCTGGACCTGGTCTCTAGCAAAGAAACAAACAGTTGATCACCTCCATTGGGGTTCCTCAGTGACCTTTGTCTGTTTGTTGAAACGTGTTTTTCAGGAGTTCCTGTGGAGGAGATTATGGTTTTTTTTCTAGTTCCTATAGTTTTTGTCTTAGGAATTATGATCATACTACGAAGGAAAAGAAAAAAGGAAAGGTAAGTCAAATGACTATTTAATACAATTGTGTTAAAAAGCTCAATTACAATCCCCTTTCCTACACTTCAGCTTGCTTGTGTGATGAAGCACAGGCCAAGATTGTGGCTCTTCAGGACGTTGGTGGGTGTATCCAACATAAGGTGGTGAA